AATCAACTTTGTGATTTACTGCTACAATTAATAATTGTCTCAGTAAATGCCCAAACCCTACAGAACTGGTGCCTTCAGAGAGCCACTATGATTACATATTTGGCGTCCCTGAGCCGGTTTTCTTACATATTTGGCGTCCCTGAGCCGGTTTTCCCTACAGGAGTAAAGGTTATTTTTAATGCTGATAGCATAGAGAGGGCTGACTTGCATTGTTTTCTCATTGAGCCCTAGTATGATAGCAGTCAGACTTTACAAGCGTTTCTAGTGTTTTATTTCCATATCTTCCTTGTCAGTAAACATTTAAGTTTTCTTGCTGCTGATAAATATTGACAACCACTGTCTTGGAGCAGTATATCAATTTCACATGCTTTCTTCTGTAATGTTTCATTAACATCCTCTTCCATGTCTCTTGGAAATGTAGATCTACAGTAGACCCCTTTTTGCAGAGTTTGACTGAAATCCTCAGATTGTGTTTCAGTAAACAAGTACTTACGTCTGTTTCTCAGTGCATGTGTCACTGATCTAAAATAAAAAATGACTGAGTGATAAATCACCTTTAACAGCATCCTTACTTAAACAAACGTACCTGTAATTAAACATAACTCCATACCATGTTCATTTATTTCTTCTTATAGTGTTCAGTATAGTGCATAGCAATTAAATGTTTTAAGGTTTTGATAAATTAAATGCATGGTCATTTTTGAAAATAACAAAGAGAATAAATAAATTAAAATAAATTAGTAATATCGGTAGTAAAACACATTGCCTTTGCAAAGCTTAAAAGCTTAGCTGTTTGATGGGTCTTCAATTCGTGTGGCAAGCTTTGTCGTCAGCGAGTTAACTCAAGTGCATAGTCTGCACTGCTTTTAAACAGCAGGAGCAACCTGTCATATACAGAACAAAATGTGTGGTCAATGATTTGGAGACGTTTAATTTAAACATTTTGTGGAAGTTAGATTTAAGAGAAAAGAACATGTGCAGTTCCCAGCAAAAACACCTTATTTTGTAGGTTGGATATAAGAGACATTAGACAATGCTGATGTCCTTGGTCCTTGTGGCAAGCAAATATCACAAAAAAATACAGATGAGCAAAAGGTACTAAATTGTTAACTCATGTCCACCAATTATTTCTCTGTTAGATAATTGTTTCAGCTATTTTAGAACTTCAAAATTGAATTTAAGTGATTGTTAATATTTAATAGTGAGTGCATCATTCTGAGGGAGGTCATTAAGCCGGTCTTCAAGAGGATGGAACATAGGAGAAAGTAGGCCTCAGGTCTAGATACTGTATATAAGACAAAAAATAATCTCAGAAAGATTATCTCAGAGGAAAGAAGACTTCATAAAGACAAAGAAAGCAGGATCTGTTTGGGTAATTTGAGCACTGTAAGAGTACCAGGCTGTTAAGAAAGGTACTTGTTGTCTTATATTGTTGAAAATACTAAAATTCAAATTATGGAGTCCACTAAAAGACATCTCCCATTGGTTAGGGATGTAGGACAGGGAAATTGGTTCCCATTTCGTTTGTACAGTATATGTCTTTAGTGTGATTTAGTCCTGGGGGGATCCTTGATTAACAAGACTCTGGAAATGACTTTCTTTCTGCCCTTTCAAGGTGTCTTGTCTCTACCTCAGTGATAATTCTGTATTTTCTTTGTGTGTAGAAGGCAGGGCTCATACAGTACAATTATCATTCAAAAGTCTGAAACATTGTGTGTAACATTGGGTAATAAATATCTGTTCGTCTTCTTAAACTTGGACTTGGCCTGGTGGTTGTTAATAAATTACGAAGCTGTGCCAAAGACGCAAAGAACACGTGTACCATTTAATGCCTGGGATAGACTGATTACAGAGAGTGACGTTATTATCAAGCTTTATAATTTGGATGCCGATTTTTTATTTTGATTTTAAACTTTTTATTTTATATATACACACCCATATTTTTACAAAAAAAAGTATTTACTTTTGCTATTATAAATGGGCCGTTGCTATGGTGGTGTAATTAAAACATGCCTAATCTCTCCACAGCAGTCAGTCAGTCAGTTAGTTCTTTTGGGAATATACCTCGAGTGAATTGAGAGGTTTTTCTTCGCACTGATGTAGGGGATCTGAGTCTTTCTGTGCAACTGAGCATGCATCCAGGGTAGCTGCCAGTCACTGACCTTTCGTTTTTTTCGGTGAGAGAATGATTTCCCAGAGGGACCTACTGTACACTATGTTCAGAGAGCATTCCTTTTTGTAGTTTTGTATTTACTTAAAGGACACTTGTGCTTGAGCATCTCTATTTTTTCTGGTATATTTTTATACATACTTTATTATCCTATTAGTGAAAATACTGGTGTATTGTGAACTACTTGTGAACATACTGCTGTTCATGAGTTAGGAATATTTTTATACTCACTCCAGGTGAAGGTATTGAGCTATCAATCACAAAACCTATATGGTGAAGGTTTCATAAAAACCCAGAAAACACCTTAAATGTTTTGTTCTTATTCTGTGAATTTGGTGGACTGCTGGAGCCTAATCTACCCAGTAATTTTATACTATATATCATAACAATTAGATGACCACTCCATCCAAATACACATGGTATGAAGAAAGCTCTCACTCAGATTTAGGGTACATTTAAATACACAATTTAGCACATTTCCAGCTTCAAGTAATTCATTAATAAATCAATAAATCTCAACACACTGGAGTAAGTCATAACCATGTTTCTCTGGAACTTGTTGTTACTAGTTTATATGTTTAGGTTTGGTTTTGGTGTTAATATTTGGTTAAATGGCAAATTGTGAAGAATGATTTGGGTTAAAGGTGCAAGGTGGAGCAGTGGTCAGCATATCTCCCTTACAGCTCTGTGTTCTCCCTGCATTCACATGCGTTTCCTCCAGGTGTTTTCCTCCCACAGCCCAAAGACATACTGGTACGGCATGTTAATTCAATTGTGGGAAAACTGCCACTGATGTAGGTGTGTGTGCTCTGTGACGGACTGGCATCCTGTCTGTGATGTATCCTGCCTTGAGCCTCTCCCTACTGCGGTAGGCTCCAGCTCCTCCACGACACTATATTGGATAGAGTGGGAGAAAATGAATGGTTGGATGGATTTTGGTTGAGAATAATAGTCACTACAATATCCCTCTTTGCTCTATTTAAACATGTAAAATTGTAGTGTACCTATGTCTTCTTTAGCGTACACCATAATTTAACAAGCAAATACAATGTCAGTAACCTATTATAATGACTTCTTTATGCTGTCTGGTGAAAATCAAGGTACTTGCACACTGTACTTTGGCTCAGCAGAATTTTTATTCTCTTTGACTTTGCTATGGCTCTATATCGATTAAGAATGATGTGAGTGGAATAGTGAACCCCAGTACTATTAAAGTCAAACATAATCTGCCACTTTTATTATTTTAAAGTTACAGTAAACTGAATGTTGAAAGTTTGCTTATTTTGTCATAACTTTGACTTATATAATTTTATTTTCTTTCAGCTTGCTGGTTTTATTTATGCATGCTATGTTGTGAAGATAATCACTGAAGAGGAAGACAGCTGTAAGTAGTAAACCTCCCTAAAATTCTGTATCTGATTATTTTCATATATAATTTGTATTGATGTATTGTGTTGCCATTTATTGGTTTAATGAAATTTGCTGATTGAAGATGAAAAAAAGACTTAAAAAGGCAATGTAATAAACAATGTTAGGTGTTACTAAGATGCACATCCCAGACGTTACAAAAGTATCATGCTTCTCCAGCAGTGAATATCCTTGACTTCCAGCACAGTTTTCTATATATCTCTTAGCCATGGCTCCTTGAGAAATTGCTTTGGTTTCTAACTAATACCTCTAGAAATGTATCTACCACAGACGTTTTAGGGAAATGCCCAACGTTTAAATCGTTTAAAATGGAAAAAACACTAGTAACACTTTTAACAGATAATATCTAGAAATGTAAGGTGCTCAATTCTATTCAGTACAAACAATAGAATTAATAAGATTCACAAATGAACTTTAAAAGATTGATTCCCTTAAATGAAACTTTTGCAGAACCTTGCTCTACAGAAAAACACCCTTGCCTAACTATACCTATTGATTTTTAATTGATATTTCAGTTAATGGTACAGTAGTTAGCATTTCTGGCTCACAGTACTGGGGCCCTGGGTTTAATTCAGGACCTGGGGTGCTTTTTGTATGGAGTTTGTATGTTCTCACTGTGTTCATGTACATTCTTCCCTAGTCCAGAGAGATACTGGCAGGTTAATTGGCTTCTGGGGAAACTGGCCCTGGTGTTTGTCTGTGTGTGCCCTGCAATCGACTCGTGTCCTGTTCAGGGTGTATACTGCCTTGTGCCCATTGCTTGCTGGTATAGACTCCCCCTGATTTCAGTTATTATTAATTTAGTTAAGATGCAAAAGGTCTTTTTGTTTAAAATCAGATTTGTTTACAACTTCAGATTGCTATGAATAATTCTGTCTGTGTTTACCTTTGAGAAATATTTATATATTTTTAATATTCATTACCATTAGGATAAGCCCTGCATTAAGGACCATGCTCTAGTGATTAGAGTTTTATTTTTGTTGAATTAAAGTAAGTAAACTCCAATGTTCTGTGTCAATCCTTTCAATCCCTGAATTAAAATAAACATTCTGGATTATTAAAATGTTTAAATTAGAGAAGAATTCAAAAGGAGCTGTTTAGTGACACAAAGCTGCTTAGCGACTTTTTTTTAAATTAAGAGAAGCTATACCCTATAGTCTACTATACATCCCTAATTACTGCACATTGAATTTTGAATTTCTCAGAGGATAAATAGTGTTTGGTTTCTTAACTGTGGCTAATGTGCATCAGGCCTAATATTGCAGTCAGTCTTTTTTCTCCCATCCAAAATAAATAGAATCCAACATATTACTATTTTCATTATCTCTTCATGTACCTCGTACCAGAAATGGAACTATTAGCATAGGAAATTAAATGCCAGATCTATTTGCTTGTTATTTTAATTGTATTGTCTTTTGTTGTTTGATTTTAGAAGATATGTATCTTTAATATAATATAAATAATGGTTTGGTACCCATTACCAGATTAATGAAATGTTGATGTTAAGAAAATAGATCAGATCAAAATAGTCCCTGCATTAATCAAAGTAGTATCAGGTAGATGGTCCCTGTGCATTTTTAAATCTGTTGCAGATAACCCTGTAAAAGATGTTTGTATGTACAGTAGGATGTGGAATTCAGGAGACGTAAACATGTAGTTCTGTGCATCTTAAATGTAATGTAAACACAAATATTAAGGAAACTGTGTGTAAATGGCTGGTAATTTAAAAACTATAAAATGTTAGTGCAATATCATTGTTAAGGCACTGTTATCTCAGTGTATCAAGGTTTAACTTCCCTACTACACTACTACACTACTATACTACAATACTATAACTAAGAGACTGTTTTCCATTAAAGTATTTACAATATTTAGGTGATGGTATGAAAGACAGGTTTCAGGCTACAATATCCATAGATGGTAATCAGATACTATATTGATTTGTTATGCTGCTTTTATGAGTTTACATTTATATATATATGATGTCTGTCAGAAAACTGTAATAAAATACATTCACAAACACTTGGTCCATTTCAGCTAATGAATTCATCTCTCGGGTAATTATGATCGTAGTAATATGTTGGTGTAGTTCAAGTGGGTAGCTGCATCAACATGCGTAGGCTGCAAAGGAACTGTCACGTTCGTAAACCCCTCCTCTTAACGATCCAACCCCTACTCTTGACGCTCCAGCCCTTTCTTGTTTTCTACTCATCTCCCACGCCTGCTCCCTGTTCCAACCCCCTTTTCAGTTCTCCTTAAAAGCCAGGCGCCCACTCTGTTCTGGGCTCTGCTCTGGTTTCCATACCAGGCGAGTCCGGACCTGGAAGTGCCTGGCCCCGTTAAGGTTTTATTTTCTGTTCCTGTTCCCCGCTGATTCCTGTTTTTAATCGGTCTTGGATGGACTGCCGGCCGGCTTTGGACTTTCGCCTCCTTTTGGATTCTCCTTTGGACTTCTTCCTAGATTGTTTGCCTCGGCCACACCTCCCCCGAACACCAGCGCACCGAGGACATGCCCCCTGTTTTCATCCCCGTATCCTGCATGACTTTTTCCCCCGTGTTTTCTTCACTTTTCCCTGGATCGTGTCGTCCGCATAGGGTCCAGATAGAACTGTTCGTTACAGAATGCAGAGCCTTAACCTGGACCCCGCGGACGGCACTCTGGCAGCCCGGACTCCATCTGGTTTTGTTCTTTTTTTTTCCTTTTTTTTTCTCAGGGCTTCGGAGCCGCGTACTGTCATAATTGTAGTCCCTCCTCCTTAATGGCGCTCCGGCTCTTTCACTTCGGACCTGATTTTGTGCACCTGCCCCTTGCTCCAGCCTCCTTCCAGCCCCCCCTTAAAAGCCAGACGCCCACTCAGTTCGGGGCTCTGCAGTGATTCCCGTATCGTGCGAGCCTGGGACCTGGGAGCTTCCTGGCTCCATTATGGTTTTAAGTTTCTGTTCCTGTTCCCGTTCCCCCTGCTGGTTCCGACCCGGTTCCCGTTTTTAACCGTCAGTCTCGGATGGACCGCCTTTTTTCCCTCGTGTATTCTCACTCGACCCCGGATTGTGTCGTCTGCACAGGGTCCGGAAAGAACGCTTTCGTTACAGGAACAAGTAAAGGTTTATTCCATGCTAAAAAGAGAAGCAAAGAAACACAGCTTTTTGGCTGTGGACACCCAAAACACTCGAAGAAGGCTCCACAGCCAAAACATTGTGTTTCTTTTCTTCTCTTTTCAGCACGGAATAAACCTTTACTTGTTCCTTTGTAGAATGTTATTTAAATGTAAATAAGAATAGCCTTTATTTGTTGTTATTATTATACACCATCTTTTTCAGTGAAACTGTCATTTTAATTAGAACCTAGTGATATCGAAATGTACGCTCCATAGGTTACGTATTTTCTTTTGAGAGATTCTGCAAAGAATTTTACTTAATAAATTATCCTTCTAATTTAAAAGAACCATCAGTATTACTAAAGTGTGTTTACTCTATCAAGAATACAATAAGTATTTTTATAATGGTTCATTTATAACAGTAAATAAGAATAATGAAGATGAACCATGGAAAACAAGCCACTACTACATTAGGGATTTTCTTTGTCATTGTAACTTCAATTCATGTAACAGATAAAATATCTGCATGAGCATAAGCAATGTACATTAGAGCTCAAACTATCAAATTACAGTTCCTTGTAATTAGTTAATTTAAAGGGTAAAGTCCTCAGGCCATTGAATGAAAAAAAATGTATTTAAAGCTTTTATACCACAAAAGGAAATTGGGATGTTAGTATGAGAATGCACAAGATGCATTAAAGGCTTTTTGCTGTGATAACAAGGAAATTAGGTTAGACCCATTGTGGGAATTGCAATCAGGTTTAGAATAATAGATGTCAGATGAGTGCTTGAGTTGGTTCACCAAGACACTCATCACGGACAAATTTGCATTTATTTTGTTGACTGAATTAATTATGACGGTTTAATACAAAAGGACTAAGTATACAAAGAATACAGACAATAAAAGAAAATTAGCTGTGACTGTAAACAAACAAATCTGACACTGAAGACAATGTCAAGAGATATATGTGCCGCTGGAGAGAGAAGCAGTCTCTGTCCAGGGCCAGGGAGAGCCGCTGAATATTGAGCTCGTGAATACTAATACATTTCCCAAATGGCCCCTAGAAACTCGTGCAGACAGCACAACTGAACTTTAAACAGGCAATACTCATCCTTTCCTTACAGAGAAGCTATTTTTATCAATAACAGCAAACAGCCAGAATCAGTTTTGCACATCGACACATTTCATCCAGTTATTGCTGTACAAATATTTTCATTGCCCTCTTGGCAGGTACTCTTAGTCTAAAAGGCCAACTCACCAAGTTGGAATACATAGAAGAGAGAGAAATTACGGGTTTTCTTACCAGTCAGCGAAGGCCGGGTTTGTCACGGAAAGAATAGCTGCAGCCAGTGACTGAAAAATGGTGAGAGCTGTCAAGGAAAACTGTAAAACAGTCATCAGTGAAATCATCAACAACCTTCAAAATGATCAGTTCACCGAAGACTACGACTGAAGAATTACAGCATAAGGTGTAAACCTCTCATTGGCACTAAGAGCAGAAGTTTCAGCATTTATCGCTGACACCTAGACAAATATTTACCAAAACGATGGTCTTTTAAAGAGTGGAGAAAGAAAGGAGAAGCAGCTGTAGAAGAACAGCACTTCATTTGTGTAGAGCTAAGGTCACAGTTGGCCACCTCTGGACCTGGCTCTTGTCAGTATTGAGATTAAACTAATGATGGCAGCAGCACAGCAGAATGACTTCTGAAGTTACAGAAACATTTCGTCTGTCTATGCAGAAGAAAATGTGTCCATACTCATTAGCTGGTGCTTTACCATGTAGTATTGCAGTCATCCAAACTGTACAGCCAATGCAACCAAGCAGTTTATGAGGAGAAAAAGAACGTTTGGAATGACAAAGTCAATCTCTAGATTTAAATCCCACTGAGCATGTGTTGTACATGCTGGATTGAAGTCGGAGCGACCCAAGCACAGGCAAGAACTCAGAGTGGCTCCTGCAAAGGCTTGGCAAAGAATATCAAAGATTTGAACTTGATGGGTTTGAGACTTCATGCCTTTACAGCCGCAATGGGCCATGTAACCAATTACTGACTTTTACACTACGAAAAGTGTAAAGGTATGTATGGAAATGTGTTGGAATTACACAGATAATACATTTATATAGTATCTATTGAATTTGAATTGTATATATTATATATTGTACTTTCCATACAAATACACATTTCTAGACTGTAAAGCAAAAATAACAAGTTTCTAAATATTTTTTTTTTTTTTTACTTTTCGAGCGAAGTATTTTTGGAGGGTACTGTAGCTCTGGTTCTACAGCTCTCTCTTTAACTATCCAAATGTGTTGAGATAGAAAAGGGATAAGGATATTGTTGTTGTTATCAATTAGGCATGCGAGTCACATTTGGCTCTTTAGTATTTTTACAAAGGTAAGCCTTTAAGCACTGCAAACAAAGGCAAATCTGGACCTAATTCTACATCTTTGGCCTCAGGACCAGCTTTAGATATAGCTCATGCTTTGCTGTAGGCTGTTTCAGATTTTTGATAGATCACTGTGACTCACTTGATAAGAGAACAACATGTTTTTGAACAGAAT